GCTGGCTCTTCACTCCCTGCCAGGCACCTTCAACTGCTCGGCGGGGGATAGCCTCATGCTTTATGGGAAAGGGGGTAGAGGGGGTGGGGAATCAAGTACAGCGGAGTAGAATGAGCCAGTGAGAGGAGGCAAAGAAATAACCATGTCAACTGGCGGGGATCGATGCAAGTTGCTGCCTGCGCCCTGATTCTGCTACATTAACTACCTGGATATGCTGCTGTCTTGTTAAAACCGCAGTAATGTTCAGAGGCATCAATCTAAAGATTTCCATGCAAATTGGTATTGGGCTGTAGGCTTTTTATTTATTTTTTGGGTGCGGTGGTGATGGCAGAAGACAACAGGCTCCCTCGTTTTAAAAAAGTTGCATTTCTTATATGCATTGTCTATGGCACCTTTCTCGTTTAGAAACAACAAAAAATAACAGAACAGCTATGTTTTACAGAAACAGATTCAGTGTATATGTATTATTTAAATCCACTATGCTTATATTAATTGGTTCTTTATAAGTATATTTTAAGTACTTCATTAAAACGGTCTCATAATTTTGGGATCAGGAACCCCAGAGATTTCATTGGATTCTTGTCTTTATTTCTAAGATGTCAGTTTCAGGGAGATTACTAAACGTAGTCATTTAGAAAAATTAATCCTTTTTCTTCCAGGTTAACTATGTTTAGAGCTGGCAAAGAAATTATTTTTAAAGCCAAGAAAAAATAAGATTCCCACTCATTTTCTAATGATGGAATATCTGATCTGGCAGCTTTTTCTTTAATCCTTTCTCCTTCAGGCAAACTTCCTTTCTTTTTTACATTTTCCTTCCAAAATGTCACGGTGTTTAAGCATTTGTCTTCTTAAACAGGATAGGATAATTCCTGATCATTCGTTATCAAAAGCCATCTGAATCTCATGATACTAAATTTTCAATCCTGCTTCTAGTCATTCATTTAACCTGATACTTGGAAACAGAGGTTTTTCTGTCATAATTGTTTTCAAACAGGATTTGGCAATGTAACTCAGCCTGACTTTGAGCTCTGGGTTCTCCTACTCCTGAGAGAACTAAGAAATTTGTTTGTTTCTTTAAGTTTCATACTTTTAAAAATAAAGTACACACTTTTTAATTAACACTGTGAACCAAAATTACATTCATTAAATTGACTAATGAAAAGTATAGTGGTACTCTACATGTTTCTGGGTAAATCAGGACAACTTGGGTGATAAATAGTCCTAAAGAACAGACTCTGAAGTAAAGAAAACAGTCTTTAGAAAAAAATGAAGATAGCATTTTTTGTGGAAAGCATAACAAATGCCAGTAATTATGCAAAAAGTGACTGTTGCCTCTTCTCTCTTTCCAATGTGGCTAGGCCTGCATTTATCTCCTTTGATCATCATAATAAAACTAAAGTAATTCAGCATTCCAGTGGCATTGCTTAGTAAATTAGCAATTGAAAAATGCTTTTGTTACCTAATTAATCCAAGTAAATGTCCTCGATAAATTCAGTTTTATTCTAACATTTATTTTTGCCTCCAAAGAAACACTTACAAAAATTAAAAAACAGCTAAGGTAAAAAAAAAAAAAAGTACAATTGCAAGCCAAATTCTTTGGCTGGATGTGTGTTGCTGAAGAGTTAACATTAAGTGACTTCTGGATATTAAGTTATATATCAGATATTGCTTCTCAACTGCTCTTTGGCTGCTTCTATAATGAGTTCCAGTGTGGTCTTGTCTATCCTCCAGAAATGCTTTTCATTTCTCTCTGTCTCCCTTATTGAATCTATTTTATCTAAACTATTTCCATTGAATTTTCAAGAATCAAACCCTGATCTATATAGCTAACTTAGCAGTTGTCCTTTAGGTTGAGTCTCCCTTGAGTTCTTTGGTTGGGGGGAGGGGATCAGCATGATTAAACATTTAAATTTGGATAGAGTACTTCAGGCATAATTTTATTAACATAATTCTTTATTGATTCTTTTAAAATTTCACATTATGCACCCAAACCTGCTCACCTCCCAGGCCCTGCATGTCCAGCCCTCACCCCTGCCTCCCAAATTAATTAAAAGCAAAACAAACAAAAAACCCACCTCTCTCCTCCATCTTTCCAACACCTCTTCATTCATCCTAGTGGCACTGGAAGCTGCCGAGTGTCATGCAGTATACCCCTTTTGTCTAATTAGCCCTCCCTGCAAAATGTTCAAGGTCTGGTCCAAGGCCTCTAATTTCTCATACACCACTGTCACTGGGCCCTCATCAAAACTCCCCTCAGCTATCCTGTTGTTGCCGGAGTCATGGTGATCTTGCAGTTATCATTGTGCAGGACCAATCCCTTCATGCCCTTCAGCAGGTCATAGATGGGGCAGCTGTTAGGGTAGGCCAACCCAAGGCCCAAGATGTGGGTCTGGGTGGTAGCTAAGCTGGTGATTCTGGCCACTGGGATCACCCACTCAAGTGAGAGGCAGAGCCAGCTCTCATAGACCCATGCCATTGGGGCCAGTTCTTCAGAGTGCTGACAATGTCCAGTGAAGGACAGAGCCAGCTATCCCAGAGCCAGTGAGGGACATCCCTCAGATTTCAACACACATGGTTCCTATGACCCCCCCCCCCCCCCCACCCGCGCCGCCCCACC